CTCCAAAATAAGGCCCTCCTCAAAAAATGTCAGTGTATCAGTTCATGTTGCCTTTGATGACTCACCGATGACGATGCCCGAGTAGAGAAAGCCATTCGTCGTCGCCCCGATGAAGAACCGAAGAGTGACGAAGGTGACGTAATTGGTCGCGAAGGCGACGGCGAACATGAGCGGGATCTGGAGCATCAGGCAGAGCAGCAGGATAGGACGCCGCCCGTACCTGTCAGAGATATCCTTAAACTTTAGATTTTATGTTTATATTCCAACATTTCATGACTAGACATGGTGACGATACCCTGAAGTTATACAGCCACCAACACAGAGGACAAATACAGGACAGGACAATACTAATTTTCACCTGTTAGTAAGGAAAGTCGTGTTAAGTGCCTTTCCAAAGGGCATAAGATCGGTGGCATGTCAGGACTCGAACCCGGGACCTCTTGGTTCCGAGACGAGAATTCTGCCGTTACAGTCGGCCACACGACCCCATCAGAATTTAGAACTTCATCCTCCTAACCCCCAATGAGTAAATCAACGAAATCTGCTTGAGTTATAGCTGCGAACACACAACTGACATGACCGAATACAGTACCTTCCGCGGAAGGATATCTCCTCCCCTAGAAGGTAAGAAACAGACGGACAGCTATCTGACCTGTCAGCCATCACTCCGAACAGCACGGCGCCCACACACACCCCGGACATGTAGATGGACTGCGCCAGCTCCGTCAGCCAAGCCTTGTTACACACCAGGTCGAACTGGAAACAAGAGGCCATAGGTGACAATCCTTCGTGAGGTTTTATATATTGCAACAAATACAATCCCAAGCGTCAACGGTCAACGCCAGACATACTGTGCAGACATTAGGCAACGGTTAATACAATGAGGGCGCGTCACAACCATACGCGTTTTGGCTGCGAACATCTTCCAAAAAAATCAAGCATCTCTTAAGCACGGGGAAAAACATCTGGTACCACTTATCGGCCCCTCACCATATCCTGCCTGAACGTTCCACCCCCCCCCCACCGCTATTCCAAACAACGGGTTTTTCTGGCCCATTCCAATTTGCCCCATAATTGTAGGGGTGCAATATCACATTGACCGCGAAAGCAGCAACGGCAAAAATACATATTCGTGCATCAACACGGCTATGCCCGCAGACGTCGTATAAAATTGCGTGCCGATTACACAAAGGGAACCCAGTGTTTTGGCTGCGAACACGAAAAACCGGCTCTTCACAACACTCCGTCCGGAGGTCCTGACCTCCTTCACGGAGTAATAAACACAGGATATAATTTCCCATACAGTATCAACCGAACCTACTGGACCACTTTACACACAAAAACGACTTAAAAGGTATCCAAAGTGGTTTCAGGGCAGTAAAATTGGATTTTCAGAGTCAATTTTCAGGTCCTGCACTTTGCTATGGTATGGCGAAGACAAGTAATTAGACTCTTCCTTTTCATTTCTTCACATTTTCTTTTCCTTTGGAATTGATTTTGGCATTATACATAACTAACAAACACTCTTCCACGGAGATTCCGTTCCACGGAGATATATGTAGGATTGCCGGCTGGAGCTTCTATTGCGTGCGATCTACGTTTGATCAGAAAATACCCCCCCCCCAAAAAAAAACGACCGATCTGGGAACGCCTGAAAAGGAGGCTAGGAGCTCCCGGTGGTATGGTTTCCAGGCTAATACAAGCATGGGCGCGCGTGCCACACTGTGAAGGGATATAAGACCTACCCTCCGGGCAAATACCTCACGACCGGGTGGTGTCGCGGTTGAATCGTTTGGGGCTCCAGAATAAGCGAAGCAAAAATCAAATTGCCCACCTACATGCTGACGTACTTTAACGGCCGGGGTCGTGGAGAGCCCATCAGACTTCTGTTCGCAGCCGGCGGGATTCAGTACGAGGACGTCCGTATCGAAGGTGCACAGTGGCCGGCACTGAAGCCAAGTACGTACCGCCTGTTGTATCACAGGTTCACCCTGATTGTTTCCCGTTTACGAAATGATACGTAACGCTTAGCTTTTTAAGTAGTTCTACTGTATGTTCGCTTGTATTACTGTACGTATTTGTAACAGATTAGATAAACTATATCTAAGTATTATGTATGACATTGCCCGTAGTTTTAAGGTGGCATTAAGTTGGGGAACGAATGAAGGTCACTTGTTGGAGGTTCCATGTCTAGACTCTAGACTGTTCAACCGGTATACATGGTGTCTATCGCCTAGGGCCGTAACATGGTAACTTCACATGCCCAGGCACACATGATAGGTGATTAGGAGCCCTGTCTATCTGACTCCAAAGCTTTCTTTATTTTATAATACTGTTAAAGAACAAAGTTATATAGCTAGGATCCGATAGATCGAATTTCCAAACAGTCTCCGATTCTGTGATATCACAACACTAGTTTCTTACTCGGCTACTTTTAGGGTAACCATGACGAAGGATTTTTTTTTTTGTCTGTCTGAATGATCGATTGACATATTGCACACATCTATACAATATTTATCGTTTTCAGACACTCCGTTTGGGCATTTGCCTGTCCTGGAGGTGGACGGAGTCACCCTTAGTGAGAGCACCACAATCGCTCGCTTCGTGGCGAAAAGGGCCGGTAGGTCGAAAAAAACCTGTTTGTATAATTATGCTAATCGGTCTAGCCTACTTCGCAGACTTCTTTAATAGGTTGCCGGCGGCAAAACTACGAAAACCACGCTCTCCTTTTTCAGCACACGGTTCCAGTGCGGAAAGTGGCTTCAGCACTGGACTTCCAGTGCTGATGCGCTCTCAGCACTGGAAAAGCTGGCGTCAGCACTGGAACCCGAGTGCTCAGGCGACATTGAGATTCAGCGTCGACTTTTCAGCGACAACAACAACGGGGAGGCATACTAAATGAAGTTTTCAAGCACCCCGGCCCTTTTCAGGACGACCCAACCACTCCCAAAAGGGCTATATCTATCACAATCACACAACAAAGTTCAGAAATAAAGTTGTTATACTAGTTCGTTGTCACTTATACCCGTATGTTTTATCTTCTAAAATAAAGGAAAATAATCACAAGATGCAGTTTTATTATTATGTTATAAAGTTAGCCATAGACACCTTGTATTCTCTAATTCAAATTAAAGTAGCAGATTCCGGCTTATTTCTTAATCATATTATCCCTCTCAGCACTGGGACATGCCAAGACGCCAGCACTAGCGTTCCAGTGCTGACAGGACGTCAGTACTCGTGTTCCAGAGCTTAAGATTTTAAAGCACTGGTGTTCCAGTGCTGAATTGTCCCCGAGCACTGGTAAAATTGTCGGCACTGGACGTCCAGTGCTGACGCCGTTTTGTCTATTGAATCAGCACTGGAACACCAGTACGGAAGGCGTGGCTTTCGTAGACTTGCGTGGCGGCGTTTATTACCTCCATGAAAAATGGAGGTATTGTTTTTGGCGTGTCTGTCTGTATGTCTTTCTGTCTGTGTGTCTGTGTGTGTGTCTGTCTGTCTGTGTGTGTTTCCGCAACTTTGTGGTCAGCATAACTTCAAAACGCTTTTATGGATTGCGATGATATTTGGTGTGCTGGTAAGTCTTGGAAAGACAAAGGTCAAGGTCAAATATGGGCCTCCTGGTGGATGACCTTGGTACTGCAGCAGACCTTCCGGTTTTTGTATCTTTTGTCCTGAACAAGCTATGGTCTTGCACGGCGGTCGGTTGCTAGCCTAAAAGTCGCATTACTAGGGAGGTATCGGGTTACAGAACGTGTTCGAACGTGGCCGCGCGGGAGTCCCGGGCCGGCCCGGGGGCAACGGGTAAAATTTGAAAATAAACAAAAGTAATTTGAGAGTAAATACTCGTCAAAATAAAATGTAATAAGTGATTTTGTTTACCTCAAATGTTATTCTTGCACTGCCTTTGCTCCACTTTGTGTACATTTGCTTCCAAATGAAATCAATTTCGGATTTCAATAAGGGTTCACGAGAACCAAACAACTGATTTTAAGAGGCCCCGAAAATTAAAAATAAGGTTAGATTTTTGGATTTTTAGAAATATTACAGTGAATATAAACTTTCTGTCTTAGGATTTTTTTATTTTTTAACTAAAACTCGACTTACAGTCAAAAGAAGAGCTAAAAACGCAGTGTTTTAACTTTAAATACCGATAATTCATAATCGCGGCCATATTTAAAAAATCCCTAAGACAGAAATCTGCGGAAATCGTTCCTCTTCCAAACAAGACCTCAATGAGGTAATTTGAGCGATTTTTGGGAATGGTTAAAATACCATGTTTGCACGCATGCTGTGCCACTTGGATATGGGGACCTGGATTTTATAACAGCGTCAACAAGAATTCTGACCTTCAAGGTCACCCACAATGACGGCAGTAGCTTCGTTACATGTTACATATCCACAATAAAATCACGGCATAGATGTAATGTTTTGAAAACGGTTCATATTTGTGGAAAGGTGGATTTTTCCTGTTCCGTGGTTCCCAAGTAAAAAAGGGCTTGAAGTAGCCGGTTGTAGCGGCTTTACTGTAAATGACCGCGGGTAACCCCGGATCGAACGCCCGCTCTATTCGAATGACGTCATATCGAACAAGATTTGCGGGTTCGGGGGATTCGATCTCCATAGTAGCAGAGTGGGACTTTTGGGCCCAAATCTGACCATCGTGTTGACTTTTTGGTGATAGATAGCTTATCCTGTCAGGAATAAGTGGCGTGAGTTTGGTCCCCCTAGCAGCTTGTTCTGGAACTGCAGGGCACTTTCTGGCGAAATGTTTAAAAGCCAATAAGTCCAGATAGGAACAACGTATTTTCATGATTTTTGGTGTGTAGGTAGCTGAGAGAGAGAGAGATGTACATGATTAAATGCAAATATGCAAATGAGGATATTATTTGCATAATTAATTAGGAAATTCTATGATTACAGTGTTTTACATTATACTACTTTCATACATGTAATGTATGTAACCTATGGCAGACAGATACTAATTATGCAAATGATGACCTAATTTGCATAATTTATGCAAAAATTCTATGATTTCTTAATGGTGAATAATGGGAATGTCATAATTGGGACATCTGTAAGTTAATCAAAAGTTAGCATACAACACTATCATGTTAATGCAGAGGTAATTTGCATAATTTAAGAGAAAATTTACATTTACACATCAAGCCCATATTTCATGGAGGTATGAAATCTCGGAATTCTTGTTTTTGGGATGGAACGCTGATAGGGTTTTTTTTATACACGTATCAATGAGGATAATTGCACCATCCCAGAGGTTCTTCCAATACACATTCACGGGTTTGCCATTCCCATGATGCATTGCGCTTGGGGGGTAAATTTCCTAATTTGCATAGCACAGGAAGGTATCCTTTTGAAGTTAAACAGCGTGTTTTTCCGGGCATTTTATGCTCAACATTAATTAATTTACTATGGGTTAAATCTGAAAACACATAGAGAATGAAATATTTGAGTTCATTATAACATGGAACATGTAGTATGTAACGCTACAGTGGTGACACTATACTGTCTTTCAATATATACAAACAACATGTTCCATGCTAAATATAACACAAAAACGCTAAATATAACTCTATTTGTTGTCAGATTCGACCCATAGTAAATTAATTAATGTTGAGCATACAATGCCTAAACCTCAAAACACACGGAAAAAGAAGCTGTTTAACGTCAATAGGATACCTTCCGGTGATATGCAAATGAACCCAGGTGCTATGCATTATGGGAATGGAAACTCGTAAATGCGGCAGGTTGGAGAGCCGCGAAACTCGCTCGCGTATCAGCTCTTCCCTTAAAAAATAAATATTGCACGCCCCAAGAAACCTGCGAATAGGCTAGATTGATCTGAATAGTCCTATCAATTCGTGCCGTTATAATTAAAGGAATGACCTTAACTGTACATTCATGCCCTCAAAAGTCAAGCCATGATCATGTTGATAAAGTTCTTAGTACAGTAACAGTACAAGTCTGCATGCCCGTAGCCGTAGGGTCGGACCGCCCCCACGCCCCCCACAAGGCTCAAAGGTCCACTTTTTGGTCCACTTTTTATGTAAAGGCTCTACTTTTTGGTCCACTTTTTATGTAAAGGTCCAATATTTTTCTTGAAAAGATGGACTGGAGAAAAACTGCTCCCTTTGTCATTGAATAAAAATTTATCTCTGATTTTTTCTTCGAAATCCTCTCAAAAACGCACGAAATGCCATTTTAGAAGGTTCATTTTTCAACATTTTCCGGGGGAGCATGCCCCCATTCAAAATCCTGGTCTGGTATAGGATATCTATTGGACCCTTGACTACCCCCAGGTTTAGCGGGAGAAGGCGATGTACAGCAGGCGAGGGCAGACATGGTTGTGGACGCCGTTAGGGACATCTTTGGCAAGGTGGCGGCGGCGTTCACCGAGAAAGACGAAACCAGGAAGGTAAGATTCTTTACTCGTTCTTACTAAGAACGCGAGTAAATTTTAAAGTTTTTTTTTAAATTTCCCTTTAAATAACAATACAACGCAAAGTATAGTAAAACGTTAAACTTTATTCCAACACACAATTTACAGGGATCACATTTTCAGCGACCACTGTCGCCTTCATCAGGATAATTAATGACCAATCACTTCACAACGTGATCTCGCGAGAGTTACGGTTTACAAACACGTGACCTTATTCACACGAGACTTTACTGATACGGAGTTTATATCGTCCACCGTCTCTATTAAGGTTCCGGGTCGGAGTTTAATTCTGACCAGGGTTCCAAATAGTGCGCAGTAAATCGCCGGATCTGCGAGGTTGTCACGCTAGGTTTGGCTCCCCATAGCTCGGCGATCGCTGTAGATTTTCAACTAGGTTTTGAATTGATCAAAAAGCCTTGGGATTGTAGCGTTTTTCGGCGCGGTGAAGTTGGACGGCCAGCGAAGCGTTTTTGGTATTAGTCCGCGAGCAAGGGTGATGCGGTTTGTCGCCTGATGACCCAAATAGCTGCGTTCTATGTGGAATTTCTAGGGGTTCGCGTCACCGGATTTTGCGAAAAACTTATCGCAACAACCTATATTTTTTTTCTGTTTTTCAGAAACAGAAAGTAGTAAGCTATTTCAGCATATAAGCCGTTAGCCTGGGAAAATTCGTTTTTTCCAAGCAGGTCCGTTGAAAAAACTGCAAAAAAACTACATTTTTCGTATCCAAAATTTACGTTTAACTACAGTTTCTACCCAAATTATAGAGTCGACGGACAATAACCAAAATTAGTATCGGAAGCCGGCTGGAAACCTCAGTTGACTGATGTAATGAGATTTCCCGGCGTACTTTTTTTGGCGGAGTTATAGCCCTTCGGTCTGAGGGTGTCCGCCGGATCCAAAATCGTGAAAAAAACTCCGGTCCGAGGCCTTAAGTTATCTTTCTTATAGTTCAGAATGATATTAATACTTGGAAGGAAATAAGTGATAACTACATTTATATATAACAACCCATAAACACGTTGTCGCAGTACATTGCGCCAATCAATCTCAAATAATTCCTATCTTCTCTGACTAGGGAATTAATGAGACAGCGTTCTTCTATCTTATTAATCCTCTAGATGAGAGAGCATGTCTATATCTCATTATTTCAATATTAATAGAATAACTAAATCTTCTTTAGCTAGTAAATTAATGGGACAGCCTTCCTTTATTGAACCAATCAGTAATCAGATGTGACATTGAAGTATAATTGGTTTTATCTCGTCCGTCCTCTAGTACGGCGTGGATACTGGAATGCCCGGTAGTTGTTCTATACTAAACGGCTCTCGCTGCTAAGTGTCGCCCTGAGCTAGGCGCCACCTGCCGTGACAGAACGGCACTGCAGCTGGTAGCTTACACCTGAAATTTAAACTTTGCCCACAAGTTCCGTCCCTAATAATAGTAATATCTGTTTTCAATCATTTTCTACTTATACGGGCTTTTTAACCCGCGCAAGCCGTACCTACATGGAGTTGGTTGATATGTACTGATGTTTTACGCTTGTTAATGCACTGAACGATCGCCGCGCTCGCAATCATACATTTGTACATGCACGTACTTCAACCGACTGCAATTTCCGTGACTTTGACTTGTATAGCGAGACAAAAATGTCCACGGATTTACTCACTAGTTTCGTGCTGACGTGCAGAAAATCTAACGTGCGATAAACCAGCTGTACGTCCCGGCAGCGCGCCGCAGCAACATGCTGTTAGTGGGGCTGTGCGCAGTGACAATATCTGTATGTTTATTTTTCATAGACAACAGTAAAAATACAACAAATTATGGTCTCACCTTAAGCCTTGCGGTCTCGAACGAGCTGTGGATAAAGAATTGTTAGTGAAAGACAAATCTTTATTGATTTTGGTCAGAAAATCGTGGCGGTGAGCTGGAGCGGTGAAGGTTCACGTCTGCTCTGGCTGGAGGTTCGCGGCGATGTGTTTACAACGTCTGTTGTACTGTTCTATGACGTCACTAACGACTACTGGTGCTAGCTAGTTTTGGGTTCTAGAACGTTAACAGCCTTTGGGCGGTGGGGAGGGGGTGAGTATGGATATCAAGTTTTAACACTGGCCTGAATCAAATCATGTTCGTTCCGCATAAATGGAATAGATTATGTACAGTAGAGAAAAATTAAACAAGGACTTGCAGCAGATTTCTAACGTTTCAAGTCACGTAAACTAAAGACACAGCGTTCACGTATGGATTCCACCCAACAAGTCTGCGAAGGAGGCTATCTTCTGATAATGTTTTACATTTTTTTGTCGATCTTAATTGAACTGAGCAGTGATTTACGTTCGTTATCATATAATATACAGTCAAGCATAAAATGCGATTCATCTTCAATACAAGAATTGTTACAGAATTTACATAGTCTATATCTTGTAACGGTGTACGGCTATGCCTGCCAGATTATATGTGTAGAGGGTGGTCGCTAATACGGAGTTTACACATAGCTCTGCGGTTTTGGAATCAAAATTTGGAATGTCTAAATATGGTTCTCTGTCGTATAGTACTTTGAATGTTTTGTATGTTCTCAGTTTGTTGCCTTGATTTTATCTTTGTCCTTGTGCTTGTAGTAGCTAGTGCTGAGTTGAATTTTCGAACATATTTTTCAATCTTTGTTCATGCAGATGGAATGGTTTGTTAATATACTCGTGTGTATATAGGCTGGCATAGCCGGACTCCTCTAAAATTGTCTTCATGTTCAACAACCAACAGGGTACTTTACTTCTAACAAGGTTTTAATATTACCAAGATTATAATACTTGGTAGTTTCTCAGAGTGTCCAATATTATCTTTAATACCCTTTTGTTGATTGCAAAGATGTAACGTTATGTTATTCAAATAGAGATTTAAGTTTTGTTTCGTTAGATGTTTTTTAAACGTGTCACACTTTATCTTAATTGTACATCATTGCTCAAAATTGTGAAAAGATTAAAAAAACATATGGGGAACTGAGGAAAGCTGCATGCTAAGTTGGTTAATCAGAAGCTTGCAAACCGCGATTTTCTCAGAAAATTCAATAAAGATTTGAATTTTTCTAACAATTCTTTACTGGTTTTCTGAGAAAATCGCAGCGATGAGCGGGAGCGGTGACGTTGACGTCTGCTCTGGCTGGTGGCTAGCGGTGATGTGGTTAGGCCATGTTGATTTGATTATATGGATGACATCCGCGCGCGCATGAATTTTCTGCAGTTTCCCAAAAAAAAGGTTTTCGACCATACAGTAAATCATACAAAACATTTGCAAAATGAGCAAATATATACCGTAAGTTGTAAAAAAATAAACACTGGAAAACGATACCAATGTCCTAGAATGCCAAAATCAAATGAAATTGAATTTGAAAACTACAATATTCGCCAAACCATACTCTGTGTCATTTGTTGAACCTCCAAAACCACGTAGATTTCATAACGAAAGCAACTTTTTGGGGGGGCCAAACTTTTTATTCGCACGCTCGCATCAGTATTGGGGTTTCCAGAGGATGTCATCCATAATAATGAAATCAACATGGCCTTACAAGGAATGTTGTGCTGTTATATGATGAAGACCACGATGAAGGGGGCACACCCCAGTTTATTTTGGGTCTTAATTCGATTCTGCATACCCTCAACTCTAGCGAGTCGACCGTCTCTTTCAGGAAATACCTCTTGAGCCAAAACACGTGTTTGCAAATGAAGGATATCCCTCTAGCTACGAGAACAATAGAATTTCAATTTCTTTCACCTCTCACATTTTTGTAAATTTTAGGGGGAAAAAGAATTTTTCGATAAAAAATGAAGCCAAAAATTGGCCATTTTCACGTGGAATTAGACCCATCACCCAGAATTTAGCCACTTATATGACTTATATGGTCGGAAAGAGAAGCACCTTATGTATTATTAAGAAAAGTATAAAGAAAATCCTAACACTGAGATTATCACAATAGCCCGTCGCGCGAGGCATAGCGACAGCACCCCCAGAACACATACAACGCATATCTAGGTCAAACCGAAGCACCGCGCTGAAGGCGGAAGGACACCCGGAAGTAAGCCTCGGGCCCGAAATCAATTTTCACCCAAAACACGCCACTTCTTACACTTTCCAGCCATGTTAGTAGTTAATACCATTTTGCAGCAGATTATGAGAAATGTAAGCTCAAACATGAACCACCGGAACCCCTTTGTCACTTTTTTTCCGGGCACTACAAGAATTGGTGTGTGCACCGTGAAGATGACCAAAGTGATCAAACAGAAAGCTCGTTATCGAGCATACATCAACATACAGAAAACACGTACCATGGCAAGTTTATACAATGGGCAATAAATCTTCAGTTTGTGAACGCATGGTCGTCAGAAAGTTACCGATGTGTTAATTAAGATTCCTTTTCTCAGAAGCCATTAACAGGCCGAATGGTGGACATTAAAACTTCCAGATTTATAAGCTTAACCGAAAAACTGCCTCCTTTTCAATGGATTCAAGAACTAGTAACTACATACTTTTTTTACAAACTAGTACAGCAACGTTAACGGTAGTCCGTTAGTTAAATGACACAGATTTGATACAAATCTCGGTTTCCATGCGTACATAACTGTAGAGTAGAATAAATATTGATCACAATGACATGACTGTTGTACGTATGTGCACACATATCGTACATTTTTCTTTTTAAAACCACCCAACTCCATGTTAGAACTAAAGTTATCTTTTTTATAGTTCAGAATGACATTAATTCTTGAAGGGAAATACGTGATGACTACATTTATATATGATAACAACCCATTAACACGTTGTCGCATTACATTGCGCCAATCTATCTCAAATAATTATATGTTTATTCCTATCTTCTCTGACTAGGGAATTAATGAGATAGTGTTCCTCTATCTTATTAATCCTCTAGATGAGAGAGCATGTCTATATCTCATTATTTCACTAGAAGAAAAAAGCTTCTCAGTCTAGCTAGTGAATTGATGGGACAGCGTTCCTTTGTGTGGAGACTGGAATGCCCGGTTGTTGTTCTATAGCAACGGCTCTCGCTGCGAAGTGTCGCCATGAGGCGCCACCTGCCGTGACAAGACGGCACTGTAGCTAATGTCTTAAACCTGAAACGAAAACTTTACTCACTAGTTCCTAGTCTCTAATATCTTAGTTTTCAATCATTGTCGAGCCGTAGCCGTACCTACCTTGAGTTGGTTGATGTTCGATGTTAACTGCGCTTGTTAATGCACTAAACGATCGCCGCGCTCGCAATCCTATCACATTTTATAGGCATTAGATACTAGTATTTTGATTTTCGTGACTTTTACTTGCGTAGCGAGCCAACAATGTCCACGGATTTACTCACTAGTTTCGTGCTGACGTGCGGAAAATCTAACGTGCGATAAACCAGCTGTACGTCCCGGCAGCGCGCCGCAGCAACATGCTGTTAGTGGGGCTGTGCGCAGTGACAATATCTGTGTGTTTATTTTTCATAGACAACAGTAAAAATACAACAAATTCTGGTCTCACCTTAAGCCCTGCGGTCTCGAACGAGCTGTGGATAAAGAATTGTTAGTGAAAGACAAGTCTTTATTGGTTTTGGTCAGAAAATCGCGGCGGTGAGCTGGAGCGGTGAAGGTTCACGTCTGCTCTGGCTGACGAATAGCGGCGATTAGATGTGTTTACAACATTTGTTGTGTTGTTCTATGACGTCACTGACAACAACTGATGGCTGGTTTGGGGTTCTAGAACAGCCTTTAGGGATCTTTAGGCAGTGGGGAGGGGGGCGAGTATGGATATCAAGTTTTAACAGTGGCCTGAATCAAATCATGAATGTTCGTTTCACATAAATGGAGTACATTATGACATTAGTATAAATTAGACAAGGACTTGCAGCAGATTTCTAACGTCACATTTCACGTTAAAACTCAACTTATTACAGGTTCATGAAGAGCACGTGTAGATGACCAACGTGATCAAACAGAAAGCACGTGATCGAGCATACTTCAAACACGTGATCAACATACAGAAAACACGTGTCATGGCACCGGGGAGGGGTAAGAGTTGAGGAAGGGTAAGAGTGGGGTAGGGGCAGAGTTGAGAAAGGGTAAGAGTGGGGGAGGGGGAGGAGTTAAGGAAGGGTAAGAGTGGGCTAGTGGGCAGAGTTGAGGAAGGGTAAGAGTGGGAAGGGGTAAGAGTTGAGGAAGGGTAAGAGTGGGGGAGGGGGAAGAGTTGAGGAAGGGGAAAAGTGGGGGAGACCGAATAGCTGAGGATTTCTCAGAATCACAGGCGACCAGTGGCGCTGCCAACCACCTGTTTCCGGTCTCTGGCTACGTCAACGCATGCGCATGCGCTGTGTATGATGTCACTCTGCTCCTTATCGCAACAGCAGTGGCGTGACAGGCATTCTGGGAAGGCATCTACATCGTTCAGAGATAACCACAAGAGACAACGTTTCTGTAAGCGAAATATGAAATTTTAATGAACGACGACCTCTCTCGGTGGTTTATTCGGTGGTTATCGCACCTGACCAAGGATTATCTCACCATATACACCTCGCGGCCTTTGGTATTTGGTGGCTAAGAACTTTGTTATGTTATATTCTTTGATGAGAAGAGTAGAAACTAGACTTTTCCATCTGCTCTGTCATCTGTCGTGAAGGTTTTTAAACATCCTGCTTGTAATGGATCGTATGTACTAGTATTCCGTAAAATTCGTATGTTTCCTTGTAATGGATCGTATGTATTTCGTGAAATTCGTATGTTTCTGGTAATTGATCGTATGTATTCCGTAACATTCGAATGAATTCCTTGTAATGGATCGTATAAATAACGTAAAATTCGTATGAATTCCGTAAAATTCATATGAATTCCGTAAAATTTGTATGAATTCTGTAAAATTCTGATGAATTCCGTAAAATTCGGATGAATTCTTTGGCACCCCTAGGCCTGGTCATGGCTCTAGGAAGAAAGGACAGGTCATATCTCTTTGTTCGACTGTGTGACGTCATAAGCCGTCGGGGGTTAATAAGGTTAACATCACCAGACATAATAACATCAAATGTTAGGTCTGCAACAGACAAAATTCTGATGCAACATCCAACCAAAACTGTGAAAAATCAGGGCTTTGCGCAGGCGCAGTGCGTTTTGCCGACGTGGTGGCCAAACCAGGGCCGTCGCCTATATATATATACACCTGTATGTACACTTGTATGTATACCAGTATATACACCTGTATGTACGCTTGTATGTACACCTGTATGAGGTCGGAAACACTCATGCTTGCTTGGTGAGGAGTCTAAGGTATCGAAGTCTCCAAGAAGCCTTGTAATCTTACCATTGAGTTGACCTGTTCGCCAAAGGTGAGACATTTAAGATTTTGAACCACACACAATTTTACTGCGCATATTCATGATAAATTCTTGTCTTACTGGTGTTTTTTTTAACTCCCAGTCAGCATCCATTCTTTCTCAGTCCTTTCAATGATTGGTGAGTCCAGATTTTACTGTATTTGTGACAACACGTAGAAGCCTGTTGCGGTGCAGAATCGGAATGTTATTGTTCAGCCCGCGCCCCAATGTTTACGCAGGTTTGTCGAGCTGCCATGTTTCCCAAACCCCATAAAACATTGTTGCGCCGACGTCAAATATAATAAATTATTATAATCTAACTGTTCAGTCGCATGCACAAAAGAGAACTCCAGTTTATACTGAGCCGTGATGACTACTTTACAATATGTTACTATGTCTCTCGTGAAACACAGTTTGTGTGATGAATCATAAGGCCACAGCAAGTAAATTTTATGGATGACATACTCCGCAGACTCCACATCTAATGCGAGCGGGCGAAAAAAAACAAGGCGGGCCGAAAAAAACAAGGTCCCCACATTTTCAAATTTTGGCTCAATCACTGTACAAATGGTTTTGATTCAGTGTATACGCAGCCATCATCACATATCATTGCATCAAAGTAAGAAACAAAACATTGAATCAGAGCCTTTTCTTGTCTCCTCTCTTTATAGTTATCTGCCATAGTTATCTCCATGGCAACAGGTATATTTTGCCCATTTTTTTTCAAAATCAGGTGAAAATTAATGCGTGCGCTGATGTCATCCATAAAAATTACTTGCTGTGGCATAATACAGCTGTTAACAATTACTGATTCTGCAACTTCTGAACTCTGACTAGCTACGAACCCGGAAGTTCAGTTGAACCCAGCAATTCCCTTCATCTTTCAGCTGAAAAATCTTCTGTTCTTTGGCAGGAGTGAGGGGAGATGAAGGTCAAGTTTGTTGTGATGGTTGTCATAGGAACAGCTGTTTTCCTGTTGTTGGGTTGGGCAGACTGGTCCTGGCGACTTCGTCACACAAAACACCCACATCGCGCCCCAGATCCTAAAAGGTAACACATCTAGCCTTGCTATTAAAGTTTGTAGTCTCTACCAGACTATATAACTACGCTGGCTATATATAGGAGAATAGTTGCCAGGGGAGTTTGGCCGCCTTGGGGTTTGACTGGGCCGCGCAGTTCGAAGGGAAAGAAACTACCTCCCCGCGGCCGGACTCCCTTGACCAATTTTACTCTCTTTTTTTGCCAATATTCGAATTCTACGACCCGTATTCCCGTAGAAAGGCCTGGCGGAGGCTATAAAGTTTGCACGTCAGTCTGCCTTGTTATCAGATATGATATGAATTTTCTTGCTCAAAATCGTACATGGTACATCACGGCAGTTAATAAACAAGACTACATCTATGAATGACTTGGTCTCGCTTTTTGGAATGAAGTATAAAGATATAGTATAAAGACGTTTCAGTACGATCTCTGCTACCTTCCTCAGGGCTTAGGCAACACCGAGTAATTTTATGGATGACGTCCTCTGGAGACTCCTAAATCTAATACAAGAGGGCGAGAAAAAAAGAAGGGCCGAAAGATTCCTAGATTTGAAATAAATATGATACTCAGGGACGACAAATGTTAGGACACAAATTGATTGAGAGAACACAGTGTAACAACCAACATGTCTTTTATTCGTCATGAAAACAGCAATAAATCAGTGGAACAGCAGTTGGCCATAGTTACAGCTAGAAAGCGAACTTTCTTCTTTGTTTCTGGGCCAAAACAGGCCGAAATCAACGCGCGTAGACGTCATCCTTAAAAATTACTTGGTGTGGCCTTAACGAAGTT